ATAATATTTTTTATTAATATATATTTTTTGTATATTCATTCATTAAATATATTTAAATAATTTTATAAAAAATTTAATATTTTTATTACCAAAAGTTCTAATTTTTTGCAATCCCATACTCTAATTTCAAACTATGACTCCTTCTAATCTTCTTTTTTTTTTTTTTGAGTCCTTCCAATCTTTTTTAATTGTCGTGCTTCCTAAATATAAATTAAGCTATTTGTATTGCAAAGTCCCAACTCGGGTTACTTACTCAGTAATACTCTCTCAGATCAATGGAAATTTTTCAAATTGATTTTTAAGCATACGTTTGATGATTATACAATTAATATAAAATAATTCTTTTCTTTTCAATCATCTTCTACTCATCTCCTAATTTAAAATTAAGACTTTTAATAAGAAGGCTTAAGTTCCTATTCACTTGGACATCTTCAAAGGTTTTCTTCATATAATATCAAGTTTTTTCGGCCAAAAAAAATTTGAATTTGAGATCATTATGGAGCAAGTAAATTATGAAGTGAATAAATTATTACCAAATATTATATCAAAACAACGCTTGATAAAAAAGAAGAAGAAAAAATTGAGCCTTTTGAGTACTGGTATAAAAAAGGGGAATCAGTCTTTGATTATGGAACAATTCATGCACACAAACGTAATAATGAAGCATAAAAACTTTTCTTGTGCAGAAGAAAAAAAAAATAACATTCTCTATCAACAAAAATTTTCATGAATTAATATTCCCTATCATTTATTATTAACAACTAAAAATTTTAAAAGTTTATAAACCTTATCTCAAAAAAAGTTGTTAAGAGCTAAACTAATAGCAAATTTTAATCCCAATCACTCCACATCCTTTATTAATCAACTTTTAATTCTTTAAAAGGTGACACGAAAGATGATTATTTGTGAATGGTGAATCAATGAAAAAGAAATTAAAAAATATATAATGGCCAATAAAAAAAAAATATTCCATCTCTAAAGACTTTTTATAGATGAAGAAAATGAATGTGGAGTATATAAAGAGGAAAGACTGTGGCTGCCAAATAATATTCCAGATATATACCTAACACAGATGACCAGATGTCTGATTGATCCGGTATACATCACTTCTGCAGCCTCCCACTTCAATCCCTTCCCCAATAAAATATTTCATTTTTTATAAAAAAAGAAAAAAACTATCTACATCAAACTCCATATATATTTTCAAGTCAAATCCTCTTTAAATCTTTTTTTGGTGCAAGGATGAAATAGTATTAAACAAATCCTATTTAATCTTTAGTAATTCGATTTTTTTTTTATTTTTTTTTTAATATGTTAACAAGGACAGATCGAATCCAATCCCAAAAAAAAGGAAAAAGATTACTTTTTTTCAATATAATTAATGACACTAAATTCAAAAAGTAAGGTGCAATTCAATTTTTATTTAGTTCATATTTGACTAAAAAATTTGATAAACCATCCATGATGCAGGCTTGATGGGCAAATAACAACCATCACACTCCCACCCCACCTCAGTTGGACCATTTCTGTTCATTCATTTATTATTACCAACTCTTCATTTTCAGTTTTTTATAAACTACAATATTTTTCTAAAGATAACTTGCTACTTTCTTATTAAACTATACTAATATTTAAGATCAGTTTTCATGAATTATATTGAAATTAAAGAATATTATTCTATAAATCTAATTTAAGATTTAAATTCTAAAATCATGTATAACAAAACTAAGAATCCCTGAGTAATCATAGACACAAATGCTAGAGAACTCTCAACCTTCCCTGGTTAAAGCAAATTGTCTCTTGCTCACCTGCCAAAAGAATATATTCAAACTAAACCAAAACTAAGAATTCACAACCTCCCTGAGTAATCACAGACACAATGCTAGAGAACTCTCAACCTTCCCTGTTTAAAGCAAATTGTCTCTTGCTCACCTGCCCAAAGAATATTCAAACTAAACCATGAGTTTCTTCTTGTCGATTTTACACACCAGATTTGATATTTTATTAAATGAAACAATCTGCAATTTGACAATATGATTGAGTAATTGAATTATTTATGAATTATGATTGTATTGTTCCAACAGATGGGAAACTGTCAATCATGTTTACAGATAATTTTAGTTATTTTAATATATACCTTAACCTGTCGTTTTGTGAACTCTTCTTGAATCCATCTTGAAGTACCAAAAAATGAAAATTCAACCGATCTGCTCCTGTAATGACAGTGTATAACTCCCTCAAGACAGGGAGGCATAGGAATGTGTATTTTGCAATTGGAATGGCCCTAAGGACTAAGCTCATGGAAATTAGGGAATGTGTAGTCTTTGTGGACTTTGCTTAAGTGCATTGTTTTCTTGTTGACTACGGAGCCTTCTCTTTTCATCAATAATGTGTATTTGCTAAAGAATGATTTGTACCTCAGAATGGTGTTCAGATCTTTGAGATTCTGATCATAAATTGGAAATTTGGATTAAAAAAAAAAAATCAAATCACAAGCTCAAGTCCATTTCCATGTAAATCAAGATGCACATGCCCTCAAGAAAAATGAAGAATGCAATTAGTCACGCCCATTACCTTAAGTAAAGATTTGCGGCGTGCTTATAAATAGAGTTCTTGTTTGTATATGTCAAATTAATCGAGTCAAAAGTTTAAATACTTATATTGTATAAGATAAAAATCAATGTTCCCTAATTTTTTTGACAAAATCCAATGACATCAAAAGATCACTCTACAGAATTCATTGTGTGAATATAACCAAATAAATTCATTTTTATGTGAGTTTGCAAGCCATGTTTATGTGATTTGTTTGTTAATCTGGTTTGGTATAAATAATTTGGGTAAAGATGAGAATTGAATTTTGGTTTTTAAGATTTTTAGTGGTATATTACTGTTTTCTATCATTTTCAATGCTGTTTCAGTTTTGTCCATCTCCGTTCTAAACTTTAAACTGTACAAATTGATTCATACGAGTCAGATGAGTGAAAAAGGAGTTCACTTTTTCTTACATGTCTACACTTAATTGACCAGTTATACCAAAAAACACACAACAGTTGTATTGTACACTTTTTTCCAAAATATGAGAGTAGGCTTCTGGTTGCATATTCAAGTTGGCTGGCTGAATGGGACAATCAACAAATTCAAGCTTATTAATACCCCTCTCACAGAACAAGGTGAGGAAGGGATGGAAAAACCATTTTTCCTTTTTGTCAATTTAGATTTTACCATTTTCTGGAAGTCTGGGGAAATGTAAGAGGGTTATGAGCAAAAAAACTAACATTAGACTCAGAATTTGGTGTGGCTGTCTTGATGGTTCTTCCATTCCTCACAGGACATGAAGATCTGTGAAAGACGGAGCACAACTATTGACATGTCTGGATGCTGGTTCTGGTTCTCATCTACGCAATCCTTTGATAGCAGTGCCATCTTCAGAGAAATTTAAAACAAGAAAAGATGAGTTCAAAGCCACAAAAACAGCCAAAATGAAAGAAATATTACATAGGAACTGAAAAGAGAAAATGATGATGCTGATTAAAGTGTAATGGAAGCTGCATTTGTTTACAGATTAAAAAAGAAAGGGTTACTCTCTCAGTAAATAGCTCTAGACGTTTTGATTAGTTGAGAATTTAGAGCACCAATTGAAGCATGGAAATGTACTAAAAATATTTAAGTTGGAGGAAGAAAATGAACATACCTTTAAGACAGAGTCTTTATGGTAGTGGGTGAGGTTTGGATCAATGCATTTAGTGAGTTCAGCCATGGGATTGTCTGCATCATTCAATGCCGATATCATCTGGAACATAAGCAGTTTGTCATGGTGAATATAATGCAAAGTAAAACATCTGATATCCCAATGGTAATATTTACAATGCATTTACTCTAATATTAACGATCGTGAAAATTGTTTAGAAAATGCCACACATATGAATTGGAATACACAGATCATATGACATGCTCAGTGAAATTGTGATGCCAACTTACATAATTCACCAAGAAGTGATGCTCACTGTGTTGATTATTTCCAGGACTTGCATCTTTACTTAGTGCTGGTTGGCCAGTTAGTAGTTCCATGAAGACAACACCAAAAGCATAGACATCACTCATTGTGATCACATGCCCATCTCAAACATATCTTACAATTTAGGATTTTAATTATAGATGGTAAGTTGGTAGCATGTGGATCAAGGAACCAAAGAACAATTTAAATACAAAATCTGAGCAAACAACATACCCAGGGGCAAGGTAACCAAATGTTCCAACAACAATTTGAGATGTAGCAGCTCCAACATCTGGAGAATGCTCCAATAATTTTACCAGTCCAAAATCTCCTATTTGTTAGGGAGAAGTTAAATATTAGGCAGCAAGAAAACATAAGTGATCAAGAAGAATCTCATCAAGAACAAACATTATGTATGGATCCTTTTTTTTTTTTTTTCTTTTTGACCAAGAGAAGGCACCATATGTATGGATTATGATCCAGAAAATTTTCAGAGTATGTGAGTCTAAGAAAACATTCAGGAGAAATATTGAGTCCATGAATCTAAAATTGGAAAAATGTACTGATCATTCGTAATTGTTAAAATGTTACTAGTCTGTACTTCTAAAAAAATTTCACACAAAAACTAACCTTTGCATGAAAATTAGCATCTAAGAGAATATTGCTTGTCTTCACATCTCGATGAACACAATATGGTCTTGTGTGCTTGTGTATGTACACAAGACCTTTTGCAGCATCAAGTGCAATTTGGACTCTGGCAGTCCAAGTGGGAGGTTATGACATGTTGATATGCTGCAAGTTAGTATGTTAATAATATTATGTACAACAGATATAGCATTCTGGCTCATAACATTTCAAGAATTAATGCTTTCTTTGGTTAAGATGGCTTTTGCATACATGGGGTCCATGCATCCAAGTGGGGTCGGGGGAGTGAGCACACAATGCACAGATGGACAGGTTATGGAATCTGACAACAGTTATTTCCAGGTCATCGGGCTAAACATAAAGCTGGATAACTATTTTACTGAGGTCAAACATGCAGCCTGGGATACTGTGATGGCTGCTTCCAAACAAAAAGTTACTAAAGTTCGATTTTGCATGGGTAAACCACAGAAAAGTTAGTAGATATTGACCTCTTGCAGTGGGTCTATGCAGGTGATCACTCAATGCACCATTTTCAGCAAATTCATAAATGAGAAACAAAGAGTCTCCACCAGCAGCATATCCAATAAGTTGAATCTAATTGATACTTACAAGAGAACAGAAAATTAACTGTTTAGAAGAAATAAAAAGGCAAATCAAAGGATAAATAAAAAGAACAACAACTGAAATGAAGTGAATCCCAACAGACAGGACATCACATACAAACTTACCAAGTTTGAATGATGAACTTTGCAAAGAATATTCACCTCTGATAAGAACTCTTTTGACTTGGTATTTTTCATCTGTTTGATAGCCACATCCTGCATAGATATGGGAAAAAGATATAACTGGTCAATGTACCCTTACAGATATTTATCCATTAAACTCCTATGAGAATTCGAAGGATGATTTATTTGAGTAGAAAGTATGAAGGCTCTTGTAAACTTACAGTTCCTCTTTAACTTTCCAAGGTAAACAGATCCATAAGATCCTTGGTCAATCTTTGAAGACATGTAAAGTTAGAAGTTGCATTGCGAACTTCTTGATAAGGGAAAACAGTAATTTTAGATGAACTAAGTGAGGAAACCACACTTTCTTCAGATTCTGTAAAGGAAATTTTGAAGAATCAGCTGAGGGGACAATACAGATAATCTCCAATAATTTTTTACTACATTGGTGATTATGCAAGGAAAAATGAAACAATAAGTATCAAGAATTTTGAAAGCCTCTTGCTCGTCTGAAAAGAGCCTGAATGAATATAAGAATGTAAGCAACTCGTCCTCCTTGAATGGTGCCTTGATTGTCAAATTCCCTTCCTTTTATAGTAATTCCAAGAAACAAGTATGACTATCAATAGGATAACACCACCACCAGCAATAGTGGCTCCAATCAAAATATAAGTTTTAGATTTTGATGATTTTTTGATATTCAAATCTTTAAGACAGCAAAGAAGAACTTAGAGTGGCATTGTGACTCAGGTAAAACTCACCAAAATAAAATTATTCCTAGCAATGAATACGAGCTTACAAAAATTTGAGAATGTTAAATAAGTTCACATGTAGAAGACTGACATACTTTTATAACTGGCATCTAGATGGATTAAATGAATATTAAGATAAGAAATATTTCGGTAACAATTTATATATAAACAGATATTAAATGTTATATCTAATGAAAGCCACCATAATAAAGATGCCAAGAACTGAATAAAGAGTTTCTGATAGAATCAATATATATGTATATCAACAATCATAGTAACGGAAAACAAAATATAAGCCTCTGACCCTTATTGTCAAGCAAGGTAAGGTTTTGAAGATCTGCTGCCAATAGATGCACATTAAAAATCAAAGAGAGATGATTAGAAGCTATACAGTTTTTATGCTAACAGAAAACCAAATTTTTTAGCTAAGATTGCACCAAACACAAGTAAAAGCTATTCCTTGCCTGGTTCAGGGATAAAGATTACTTCTCCATCATGAATAAGATTTGGATTTGCAATCTGATTCAACTTGATGGTTCTATTAATATCTGTATTGAACTGAGAACAGATTATATAAAGTGTATCTCCTTGTCAGACCCTGTAAATCACAACATCCCCGTTCTTGGAACAACCACATAAAAGATCTAACGTCACAACTTGAAATGCAATCAATGTCCTTTCAGTCTTTTCCACAACAAAAGATCCAAACTTTGATGAGACACTCTCCCATTTATCACCAGGTTGGACCTCATAGTCCACATGCAGAATGAACTCATCATGTCCGGGTAGACAGCTGCAATTTATTGCAATCGAGAAACCATCAATGGTTCTATTAACTGCATTAGAATTGACACTGAACAAAGCAGCTGTTTCTTCAAGGCTTTTGCAGGTATTTGGGACATTGTACAGTGAAGCAGGACATGATCCACCAAGTGATACATTATTGCAAGGAATTGAAAACCCATGTAAACTATGGCATGCAAATGAAAGACAATTCAATAACACAAAACCCACCAAAGGTTCTTTATATCCAAAACCCTGAAGACACATTCTCCCAAATTAAAATCAAACTTAATGCCTAATTAGTTGTAGCTTATCAAAATGGCATTTTTCATTCTTTCTTAATCCCACATTTTCCCCCAGAAAACAAGCAGAGCTCAGCAACTCATCAAAACTGCATCTTTCCACAGAGACTTCTCTAACTAGTTACAGTACAGCACAGCTCTAGTACAATTGTACGAGTACCCAATAACATAAAGCTAGAAAATTTGCAAAGAAAAACTTCTGGGGAAATTTTTGAGGGTATAAAGCTAGATAAGGCAAGTCAATGTGGAAGTGGGAAGGTGGAAAGGATCAAACTTGGGATGTATCGAACAATGAAAAACCAAAAAATGGAATGAAAACATGAAGAAAAAGACATCACCTGGCACGTAATTGACCGTTGAACTTGATGTGGATGTGAAAGAAGAAGACATGAGAGAAAATCCAAGACCTTGTTCTTTGTGGTTTGGTCCAGATTATTGAAAGATGCTGGCCTTCAATCCTTTTTCGCCCATTTGGAGCTCTTAGACGACGATGTCTACCCGCAATTTACACATTACACGGTTAAAATATGTTGCCACAACTCGAATCAAATCCGGCATTCTCTTTCTTTTTGGTCTTCTAATTCGGCATTCTGTGCTGCACTACTTTAATAATTAATAATAATGGATTAGAGGGGTGAGACTCTAAAATATCAAATATACTGTAATTTGTACATGACTTAGAATATTTGGATCCGTCTCAATTCGTTAAAAGGTTGAGACTTAAAACATTTTGAGTTCATACATTGAGAGGGATGAAGAAAAATTAACTGAATGAGTAGTTTTCTTTTTCATTTATCTCTTTATCTCAATAGGTAAATAAATAAATTATTAAAAAAATTAAAACAAAATTCCATTTAAATTTTTTTATTAATTAAATAGAGAAATTTTGTTCATTTTTATTTTTTTTTCTATTCATGCCACTTAACTTAAATATACTGTAAACATATATTTATATAATAATTAGTAAAGAGAAAAAAATAAAGGAATTTTTTCTCTTTTTTTTTTTTCTGTCCATCATTTATCTCAACCTAAATAATTGGTAAACATTTGTTTGAATAAAAATTACTAAAGAGAAGAAAATGAAGAGGAGGGGAAGGAAAAGAAGGAGAAGTGAATAACAGAAAGGATCGATATTAATCTTCTTTAGATTTACAAAAGTGAATGAAAGGGAATAATAATATTTTCATTTGATTAAATAATTTTAAAAAATAAAATAAAATAAA